TCGATGTTACGTTCGTTATTTAAGTTTGTATGTTTAGTTTCTATATTGGTGGTTAAGCCTTGTGATTTAAAAGGATATTTTTTTTTACTTTCTACTAAGTATTTTATTTATTTTCTATCATTCTAGTTTATTGGGTTTTGGTATATAATAACATCATGCTAGAGGTTTATTGGCGGGGACCTCATGGCCCCGTGGTCCACATTTTGTGAACCCTACTTGCCATACCTCATAAGCAAGCACCGAAAAAGACAACTTGTCCTCCCCTGGAATCGAACCCCGGTAGGCACACCCCAAAGCAAGGCCTTTACGGAAGGAGGTGGCCACTAGGCCAAGGCCTAATGGTTTAATAACATCATGCTAGTTGTTAGATGGAATAGAAACACGTTATATACTTGGTTTGGAGGGTTTATTTGTAAATTAAGGTATAGTACAGGGAACCCATCGGTGTTATTTTGAAAAAAGAAAAACCCATGCTAGCTAGGGTTTATTGTGAATCTAAATATAAGCCCGTTGCCACCCTGCCTTATTTACTCTCTCTTCGCCGGCGGTTTGCGATTTACTCTCTCTTCGCCGGCGGTATTGCAAACCGCCACAATGGCAATGGCAATGGCGCAACCCAAAGTTTTGACACCGAAAGAGGCCGATATACAGATGATGTTGTCTGCCGAGGTCCATCTCGGCACCAAGAACTGTGATTTTCAGATGGAACGCTACGTCTTCAAGCGCCGAAACGACGGTATAAATTCTTCATCTCTCAATTCAAGCATCAATTGTCATTTTTTTGCTCATCGGCTTCATTCCACTCATTTTATCTACTTCTTTTACACGATAGAATGTTTTATTTTGTTATGCGGATCCGCTACTTGTAGTTAATAGCGTAAAGCATCGTCGTAATTGAAGCTGTCACGTATGATCGTGTGTGTGTGTGTGTGGTTGTATCTCATACATATTTATACGTATATCTGGACTACAATCAAATCCATTTAGAGCATGGAACATCCAACGATGCGGACGTTGTGTGCTTCGTAGCAATATGTTCATACTTATTAGTCGTTACAAAGGATTTTCTGAGACACAGGCTTACCTGTAGGAAAGTTTATACCATAGTGAAAGGGATCGTCTGAGTGCATTCTTAAATTCAAAAGCTAATCCTTTTAAAAAGAATTAGAAGAAAACGGCATGTGATAATGGAGTTTGTTTATTTCAATGTCAACAGAAGTTGCTTTAATTTCGTCTCCCATGACGTTTTTAGTAGTTTTAATTATTCGATCCTGTGTGGGATATACATATACTCCCATGCTCTCTGAGTAGGGTAGAGGTTGGTTTATCTTTTCTTGCACTTATTTTCAGCAATATTTGTGTAGTCACCAGAGTTGGTTCCAGATATCTGACTGCCTTGTTCCCTTTCTTACTGCAGGCATTTACATAATCAATCTTGGAAAGACATGGGAGAAGCTGCAAATGGCTGCTAGGGTAATTGTTGCTATTGAGAACCCACAGGACATTATTGTGCAATCTGCTAGGCCGTATGGGCAGAGGGCTGTGCTGAAGTTTGCTCAATATACCGGTGCTCATGAGGCATTGCTGGACGCCATACTCCCGGTACATTCACCAACCAGTTTCAGACATCGTTCAGTGAGCCTCGACTCCTATATTGACCGACCCACGCACTGATCACCAGGTTTGTACCTTGGTGTATCTGTTTTATTAGTTACTCTTTTTTGAAGGAACATTGAGCTTACATAGTTTGATACCTTGTCATCTTTATAAATAAGTTTCGTTTTAGTCTTTGTTCTTTAAATGATGAAAGGCATTTGTCTCCAATCTGACACCATCTTTGATTCTTCACAGCCCATTAAGGAGGCTGCACTAGGGAACATACCTACAATAGCTTTCTGTGACACTGATTCTCCTATGAGATATGTTGATATTGGTACCCCTGCCAATAACAAGGGGAAGCATAGCATTGGCTGTTTGTTTTGGCTTCTAGCAAGGATGGTTCTTCAGATGCGAGGTGTGATCAACCAAGGGCATAAGTGGGATGTTATGGTATGCATCAAAGAACTTGGATTTTTAGATCTAGCATTTAACATAACGGTCTTGGTTTTTCAGTCAAATCATCTTCTATATGCCATTTGTTTTTGCAGGTTGATCTGTTCTTCTACAGGAACCAGAGTTGACCAAGGAGCAAGAGGATGAAATAGCTGTAGCAGCTGACTACAAAGATTACGCAGCTGGTGCTCTTGGAATGGATGATCAATGGTCAGCACAGATTCCTGATGCCCAATGGGCTGGTGACATGGCTCCACCACCGATTGCTGGAGCACCTGTAGTTGCAGCTGCAACTGGTTGGACGGGTGCTGATGGTAAGAACTAGAAATTGTAAATGGTTTTTGTATGTTTCCTTACAAATATTCAATTGTGATCACTGTTATTGATGGCTCTGTACATACGCTAATCATCATGGCTAGTCTTTATATGAGATTTATTCTTGGTGTTTTCCTATTTTCAGCTCCAATAGCAGGTGCTACAGATGCAACAGGTTGGGAAGCTGTGGCAGCCCCTGTACCGACAGTTGAAAGTGGTGCTGCAACTGGTTGGGAATGAGGCTTGGTCTCTCTTCAACTTTCTAAGTTTCATTGAGGTGGATATTGTTTTAAGATTTATAAATTGGGTTTTTGATCCAGTTTGGTACTTGTTTAATGTTCATTAAGTTCTTTAAAGTGATATATAAGATTTAAGGCTTTTTTTAATAGATAAGTTTGTTTTTTCTTTCCTCGGCTATATGGTCTCTTTGTTTACAAGTGTTCCTTCAAAATCAATTGGATAGATGAGACCTTATCCTTATGTATATTGTTTTGCATCATTCCGAAGGTGGAGGATATGTGTAAATTTAGAGACAAGGGCTGATTTTCTAATCCCAGTAACCGGAACTGGTCGTTAGTTACGTTCTTAACTGACTGGCTAAGCCATTTTTATAAACTATCATGCTACCATTGGCCCTGCCTTTGTAATTATTTGTTGTTCGTGTTTTTTACAATTTAGAGTGTTCTTTTCTTAATTGACTACTAATTAACCAAAATTACATTCGAGTGCTCTTTATCTGTAGCATAAATACTAGGGTTTTGGTGTTTTCTCACACCAACTCTCTCACTCGTACGATTTATATCGTTTCGAGATATTTGAAGAAAAAAGGACACATTACAAATTTTTTTTGTTCTCAAGCCAGTCCAGTGTCTAATATTCATCTCAACCCCCAAAGACCTAAGTACTTGACTTGACAGACAGGCTAGCCTAGTTTCATTCAATAAAAAGGATTTGTACCAAAAGAACAGGCTCTCTTACCCTAAGCTTGATTGATCTGATCCTCTCTTCTTGAACCACTTGCCTTTTTTGTAATTAATGGACAGCCACCTTGGGAATCCCAGGATTTAATACCACCGGTATGGGAGAACAATCAAATACCAGACAATGTAATGGAATGCAACGGAAGAGATGCATGCAGATACTCACAAATCATGAAAGGAAGAAAGAACACTTATAGAATGAATCTCCAATCTGACTAAATAGCATCAAAAAATTATTTACAAAGATTCAAATTGTGAAGGAAAAAAAAAACCAGTTGTAGTTTTTTACTCTTTTTTGTACTGTACTAGAAGGGTTTTCATGTATGCTTTTAGTATCATCTTTTTTACAAGGGTTAGCATACTTTTACTTTTACTTTTTTTTTAAGGGGTTCTATATCTTTCTTCATAAAAAATGCAGCTTCTTCTTTTTGTTTCTCTAATGGTATTCTCTTACCACTTATTTCTGCTTTGCAACCCACATCCTTTGGAGGGGATGACTGAATTCAATGATTTATGGGTAAGAAGATTTTAGGTTTTCTGTTGGCAAAACTGATCAAAGGAACATATCCCCATTGGTCACCCATTCTGCAAATCTATCTGAAAACCCACCTCTACCATCCTGTGGGAAAATTAAAAACATAATAAGATTACAAGGATGAAAAAATTAAATCAGCAAATAACAAGAATTCCATAAATTGACCTCCATTTAACAATGAGAACATGCATATACACAACACAACCCTTGTGTTTGACTTCCAAGTGAGAAATAGTTTTAGCTTGGATGTTGAAAAATTATATCAGAGATTACTAAAAAAACTCAACCACATTAAAATATTAAATATGTACTAAAATACAACATTTTGGAGTCATAAATTCAAACGATTGGGTTCACCTTTGATCATGAAAGGTGCTTAGCTCCCAAAATCATGCAAACCACAACATTCATGGTAACAAAATTGGAACAAAGTCTATCAATCTTAAAGTCATAGGAAGTCGCATCTAATTCTTTTTAGCGCAAGGGAAGTTTCATATTTTTAATGTTCACATCCTCATCAACTTTTACTTTTGGAAAGGAAAAATGAAAAACTGGAGTGCAAATGAAGCAGAATAAAATAAGAAAGCTGACCTTCACAGTAAGAGATATCTCAGAATCGCTAGCGAAGGTGCACATTTCATTTATTACATTGTCAGATGATTGACCACCGATAGGAGAGCCTACAAGTGTTGACCTGCAGCAGCCATTAACGTGGAGTTTACAATTTCAGCAATAAGCTTTCTTAGACTTCTCAAGTAACCACTTCTTTCAGACAAACAGAATTCCAATAATATCTGTGCACCTTCCTTACCTCCCATAGATGTTAAAACTAGTGTACGATTCAAGACATCGAGTAGAAAGAAGATGTTATCTCTAATAAGTCCCTGTTAAAATTATTAAGCTTATCTGCTTAGCATCTCTAGGTTCAGTAATTTATAAGAAATTGGAAAAAATGAAATGTCTTGTTGCTATTGCGTCGACATATCAGTGAGGGTTGGTTCAAAAGTGATGACACCATTAACATAGCTGGTACAGGCAGGAATCAGAATGTACAATAAAAACAAGTTTTAGATAATGCACACAATGAGTTACCTCTCATATGTTTCGTCTTCACATGAATTTCCAGATGAGGAAAGCCAGTCAACATCAAGAAAATTCGAACAGTTGAAAGAATCCCTGTTGTAAAATATGCGATCACTGTTGGGGCATTCTTCAGCAAGCTGTGGCCGAGAAACTGAATTTGTATACCTGCAAAGATGCCAGCAATAAAACTCAAACCAAATACAAACCAGTCCTATAGCTTTCACTTTTACATGTACAAAAGTCTGATATGAGCAATCAACAAAAACTTCAAAGATAAGATTATTCTAGTTAAGATATATGTATTTCGTGTCATGAGAAGAAAGTCGATAATTATGTAAGACTGAAACTTTCAGCACAGAATCTTGTAAGGACTCTGATGTGAACTTGTCTGGCTTTGGGCATTTCTATCTCGAGGAATAGCTGCTTCAAGAAAAGTCCTATGACCAACGTAAAATAGATGACTCTGTGACTACCCTGTTTGGCTGCTTCAAGCTGACTTTGATATACAATTGTGTCTCAGAGGCAATGTCCCAATTATAGTCGAAAGGTTACAGATGTTTCCAGCTCTTTGAGAGGCTGGAGCTCTCCTAGGCTCATGCCAAATTTGAGCAGGGCTGTGAGGAATGTTCATAGGAAACCATCCAGGATTGAGAAGACTCATATCCCTTTCCCCAAATTGAAGTGCCATCAAATCCAAAAGGTACATGTGGCATGCCATGAAATACAAAGGGCTAGGTTTTTTATTGAATGCATAGCCTAACTAGGACCCAATAATGTTTAAAGCCTATGTTCAAACCAAACAAACCCACCTCCTATTTGAGTTCGTCTTTTAAGAATATCTTGAATAATAGATTCCTCCATAATAGAAAACCAATGGAACAACCACATCACCTAATCACGAGGAAACGTACAGAACTGATAATCCCTCACTTCTAAGCCATCTCTCATTTTAACCGGTCTTGGTGTAAAAGAATGCCCACAATTCTCTATACTACCCCTGCACTTCTTATTACACTTCATTATTATGACTACTATCAATTAAACTCTACCCCTTACTCCTATATAAAGCTAACAGCAGGTTTACCGATACCTCACTACAAAAAAGGTAAAAAATTGGGAAACTGGTCTTTAATGGCATTGTGATCTTCCCATGAAGCTTCAAAGTTGTCCATCACTTTCCATTTCACTAGTACCTCCAGCTATCCCAAATCGCGTGATATCTAAAATGTATTATGGTTCAGCTCGGATCTCCATATCATTTGTTAACTGTGACGGTATCATCTGGAAGAAACACAGCTCCCAAAT